TAGTACACCTCTGATAGCGTTATTATGACTATTTCAATATAGCATCGTAGTTAACCTTGTAATGTAAACAGCATTACTGTCAAATAAAATATCACAATATCTTGATAGTTAACAGCGACAGAAACTTTTAAAATTACTTTTACAGAAACAATATATAGTTCTAACTGCTTGATTCTCAGCTGGACAGCAGCTGGAAGCCAATAAAATGTGACAAACAAGCCAACGACCACAGAAAACTCATGAGTTAACTGAGTTAAGCCTGTTACCACACGTCAGGCCATAACAGAAAAGTAACGGACAATGAGAAAACACCATAAAATACATCTCTCTCATTGTAAAATGAGAGTTAAAAAGGCCATCTGCTCAGCTGCTCTACTAAGCTTGAGTTTGTTCAGCTAATTTGCGTTAGTGAGGTCCATTTTGCAGAAATGTGACCTACATCTCATAGTGAATAGAATAACTGTCAAATATGAGTGTTACACCAACTGTAAGTTTCTCCTTCTCTTATTTATTTATTTTTTAACAAAATCATTGCTCCTTTTTACCCATCCATAACTGGTATGCACCTATTAATTTCACTTGTTCCTTCCCCATTCCTCCATTCTTCCACGAACAGCTATTACTATTCCATCAACTGATTTGACCCCTACCCTGTTTATTTAATAATATAACTATTTATTTTTATGTTTATTTTCAGCTGAAAATATATATTGAAACCTGCACTAAATCAAAGGACAGTTTCAAATTGATTTTATTTCATTTACCTCTCTCTCTCTCTCTCTCTCTCTCTCTCTGCCTGTCTCTCTTTTGCATCTCTGTCCTCAGTGATTACTGAAAAAGCACACATTAAACATATATCATAAAAGGCTATCTGTACCAAACCCCAGCTAAAGGGAAAGGCAGCTACTCATACAGTTAATGAGACAAAATACAGTCTAATGTACCTTCTGATTTCCCATCAATATTAGCTACATGATAATATACCATCAATATGCTGGTGAACAGTGAACTTTCTCATGCCAGTTGTAGTATGTTATGTGTACGTAACAAAATACAGCTTTAATTTCTCATCTAAATCACTAACATAGCCTACTATGGAGCCAGCAGCCTAAACTGAGCAGCTACTGGAACTAGACTAAAGCATGCTGATTTAGCTAGCAATGTTGTGAGTGCTCCAAATAAAAAGTTGTTTGCATTTCACAAGCATGTAAATTATGCTCATAAACTAGCTTATAGCATGTGTGCTGCATACCTGAACATCTCATGAAGTCAAAGTTACTCTGGTACTCAAGTCTGTGTAGCGTCTCGTAGAGATCAACAGATCGGGCAGTTAAGTCTAAGGCCAAACAGCTGTTCTGAGGACAGCTAAGAATCTCTCACTGCTCACTGTGTAGTTTTCATCGCTTTTTCCACACTGAATTTCATAAAACCCTTCAGAAACCTCCACAGATCTTAGTGTCCTAACGCTAGTCATGAACATGACAGGTGCTGCTAATGTAAGGTAAGCCTGTGATACTGTGGCTGTGCCCCTGAGTAGACTGTATTATCATAATGGTGCTGTTTCTGAGTTTAATCTCATGAATGGAGGAAAGTGAAAAAAAACCTTCTGAAACTACTGAGGTCCAGACCTCAGTGTCCTCATAGCTAGTTACAGTTGCTAAGAAGTGACTGGAGGGCCAAGAAAATGTGGGGCTTGAGAGAGGTCTATCAAAGTTTGGGCAGTTATACAGATAGGGATCATGAAAGACGCCAGAATGTGTTAAAATACGATCAACATAATTGTAGTGCCGTTCTTGCATTAAATTATTAGCCATTAAGAGGCAAAGAGGCACTTCTTCTGTTAATTTATTTGTGCTGTTAAGGTTGAAAATGACACTTATTCACTCACTTCTACACTAGCTTACACGGCTGCCACTTTTCTTGAAAAAGAGCTAAATCCTGTCTGCTTCACCCAAAAAGTGACATAAAAAAGACTATACCCACGGTCCAAATTATTTTAGAGAACATTGGCAATAAAGCCACAGAAGAAAGAAACCTGCCAACATGGTAATAGCTGTATTTTCAAACACAATGCATAGGAAGCAGCATGTATTAGTACAGATGAGACTGCTCTCTGCCATTAGATTTACACAGCTCTCTTTTACCAATATTAAAATCGACGCTATGCTGTCACAATACTATGCTTTTCACACGTTAGAAAAAGGGACTGATGCTGATGAAGTCTAGGGCCGAACAGCTGTTCTGAGGTCAGCTAAGAACCTCTCACTGCTCACTGTGTAGTTTCATCGCTTTTTCCACATTAAGTTTCATAAAACTCTTTAGAAACCTCCAAAGACCTTAGTGTCCTAACGCTAGTCATGTACATGACGGGTGCTGCTAACGTATGGTCAGGGTTGGGGGAGTAGCTAAGTAGCATGCTACTTTCTGTAGTTAACTATAAATTTTAGTAGCTAATAGCTGTAGCGCCTAAAAATTTTTGTGTAGCTATAGTGATATTTACGCTACAAGTGCACTATAGGCTTCAGGCAATCTGCCCAAAGTCTGAACCACAGAACGCGGTTGTTAACTGGGCTGGTGGCGACTGTGCGATCCGGACTGAGCCACGGACAATCCGGACTGAGCCGCAGGTCTCACATGCTGACCACCCCTGACTAGCAGGTTTAGCTCAGGGGTCGGCAACCAAAATGTTAAGAAGAGCCTTTATGTCCTTTCAACAAAAACGAGACAACCTTGGGAGCCTCAACATTTTATGTCTGTTTTACCATCTTGGCTGGAAATATGTCTCAGTATGTGCTGATGTGCTAGTGTAGGCTAACAAATATAATATAATATAAACAAAAACAAAAAAGACTTACTTTGCTCTGCTATAACCTTTAGCTCAGCTATAGCCGCTTTTCTCGCATCTCAGGAAACTTTTCCGCAGGTTTCTTGTACAATGTCTCTCAGTGTTCAACTTTTACGAGGCTGAAGTCGCTTCCCGTTCAAATTGTCCCATTCCACCTTAAATGGTGCCTGCGGCGCCAGATTGTCCTGTTGCACCATTTAAGGTGGAACGGGAAAATTTGAAAGAGAAGCAGGAGAATGTGACTTCAGCTTCGCAAGTTGTTGCAGATTAAACATATGAGGAAACCAGCTGACAGCTTATAAATGCAAATAAGTCCATTCATCTCCAAATTATCGATGCTCGTCTTAAATCGCTCTCTTTGCCATTTCGTTATCTGCGTTGCTGTGTGAGCAGGAGTACATTAACTCCAGCATTTAAGACCATTTGTTGTGAAAACCGTGTTAGAACTGTGTGTTATAATAATTTACAGCAAAGGATTATGTTATTTTGCCTAAAAATCTAGTTCTACTGTGGAGCCGCAACAGCTCTGCAGCAGTAGAGAGATTATTTAAGCCTGATTCTCACCCCGAACAGAGCCAGGGTCACTGATGAGAATTTCGAGGCTGAAGTGTTGCTGAAGTTTAACAAAGGACTCTGAATGTAATGTCTGTGTATCTTGCTGAAATGTTTAAATTGGAGCAGTTTTATTTCAACAGTTGACAATGCTTTGCACAAAATTGTTTGGTTTGTATGCGGTTATTTTTGTTGATTTTTGTTGATTGACTTTGCCTTTATTTAGTCTACATTTTTGTTGGATATCACACCTTTGGTTGTGTAAGTTTGATGGTTGGTTACACTTGAACTCACTTTTTGGTGATCTTTTTGTATATTTGCAGCTTTTTAATTGTAATGTTTCTTTCTGGCACATGACTATCAGTTGGGCTTGTTTGGTGTGTCAGGTGGAGACAAACATTCTGACAGTCGCGCTTTGAAAGTAGCTAAAAAGTAGTGCACTACTTTTCAAAAAGTAGCTAAAAAGTAGCCACTACTTTTTCTGGAAAAGTAGCTAAATTGTAGTAGTAGACTGTATTATCATAACGGCGCTGTTTCAGCATTTAATCTCATGAATGGAGGAAAGTGATGCTCTACTAAGCACTTCAGCAACACACTGTTTATCAACCATTCAGCACTGATGAGCACAGAGTGCTGTGTGCGTCTGTAACTGCTGCTGGGAATCGCTTTCATCTCACAACTTTTGGAAGAAACCAATAACATAGCAAGAGGAGGGTGTCTGATTTTTGAGGTATGATCTACAACATTAGAAGAATACGTCTGAGTCAGTATATAAAATAACAACAACTACATATTATAAAAAATAATAGTAATAAAATAAAAATATAAAAAATAACCCCCCCACCAGCTGGAATGGGCATGAGGCCCCTGTGTTCCACCACCCACAAGACAACAACATAACAGTACAGTAATAATTCAGAAGTTGTTAGAGGCCCCCTGATGGCCAAGATCTGACAGTAAATGAACTTGTAAAGCTCAGTTTGTTTCATTTTGAGATACAGCCTTATATTCCGCACAGTTTTTGTTTGCCTTTATTATTATGAGCCTTAATAACACGTTTGCCAGATGCATCATGTGCAACATGTAATATACGTCTTGTAATTTTGCTAACATTATTTTTTATTATTTTACATGTTCTAGGAACATGTAACAAGCACTGTTGTCTTTCTGGGGAAAAAAACATTTTTGGAATTGCCAAAAATAAATATTTATTTATTTATAAATAAATAAATAAAAATTTGTTAGCATCCTTTTCTAAACCTATATCGAAAATGTATCTTATCATGATGCAAAAAACAGCAATATGAATCATATCATGAAATTTGCATATCATTGCACCTCTACTCTATGTTAATGCTAATTTGTACTAGTGCCCCTATGGGATTTATAATAGTTTATAATCTAATATGGTAGCACTAGGCTAACACTGTTCCATGTGAACATGTTTTGGCCATTTGTTAAACACTATGCAAACATTCTGAATCTCAACTTGAAGTAAAATGTTTGTACGCAAACACTAATTAGTGCATACATAATATAAGTAAATGACAGCCATTGTCACTGAAGATCATTCACTTTGTTTATGTTTCTGAATAATGGTTACCTCTGTTGCACATTATCACTGGTGATGGCCTGAGGAGGAACCCTCCAGGGGCAGCTGATACGTCCCCCTGGCAGCCTCTTAAAATCAAATTGGCAGCAAATCTTTGGGTCAGGACCACAAGTGTGGGGTACATCATAACTGTAGAATGGCATCATGTGGCAGAAGATGTCCGTGCTGGAGTGCTGGTCTAAACAAGACAAAATAAGAGTGACTAAACAACAAGTAGAATCAAGCAGATAGTATGATGCTAGTTTTAATACAAGAACCGAATAACATTACTATGTTTGTTCACAGTAGTTTTGGAAATTACGGGACTATTTATAACACTATAATGCTGACACAAATAAAAATGATGTTAGTAGCAAAGCAAAGCTGGTACGCTGTTTCCTTTTCTTTCCTGTTCTTTTAAAGAACGAAATACAGAATTATACAGCAGTCTAATTCGCTAAGAAGTGTCATCACTGAGCAGTGCTTACTAAGTAATGCCTAATTTTTATGCTGTTAACTGTTGCTTAGTTTCTACTTCAGCACATACAAAAACAGAAACTGGATACACAAGGTAACTTCTATAAGATAATACCTGACTTGAAGCCCATTTGGTCAGACTAGAAGAGGACTATGATAGCAGGCCTACACCCAGTGTGCAAAAAAACAAATGACATCACCTGTTTTTCTACAACCTAAACTACTAGGGTTCTGCCATCTATAAGTTTGATCACATTCTGAATGATGCCCACACTTATTTGTTGTAAGTGATCTGAAAAGCTGTGGCAACCTTGAGGGGCATGTATGTTTAACATATTCCTGACACCTAAAAGAAATGAGATGGAGTCAAAAGGAGACAGAATTTATAACATTAAAAATATCTAACAGAACTGTTCTAGAATGCTAGTTCATCATAGTGGGGAAATCTGGCAGTGTCTGTTGCTGGGGCTGAAACACCTCCAATAGTAAGGCTGAACATCTGGAGAGGCTGGCTCATATAAGCTGTAGAAATACAGTAGACTTAACAGTGCTGACACCGTTACCAAAAGCGGCCAGACCATTCACCATACATGATTCACAACAGCCTGAAATTATCCTGTTGTGACTTCTATTTCACGATATTGGGGCTAAATGACATGAGCTGCCCCTCCTCCTTTTAATCTGCATAATTAAAGAGAGATTCAATCAATGAGAGCCATGAATAGCATGGAAGGACTATAAGCCCACATACTTGCACTTTTACTGTAAAATGAAAAAGAAAAAAAAAGCTTAAAAAAAGACAAAAAAATACAATGAATTTCATCTAGCAATCGCATCATTTTTGTCTGTTACTGTATGCTTTGAGCCAAAAAAAAATCTTCTGTCACTATTTTTTTTTTCTTTAAAAGTGGATATAGTTGGAGTGTTCCTATTCTGCATGTGCTTTTCAACTATCAATGTTTTTTTCTGAAATAATGACTGGACTGGTTAGGAACATAAGTAGACTTAAATCAGTGGTGTCCAATCTTATCCAAAAAGGGCTGGTTTTTCTTTCCAATAAAGCACTGGATATCAGTTGCTTGACACCAAATGATTAAGCAAGTGGAATAAGGTGTGCTCCAGCCTTTTTTGGAATGAAAACCTGCAGCAACACTGGCCCTTTGCAGACAAGATTGGACACTTCTGGCTTAAATGGTACTAGGGGGGCCCATTTAAGCCCAGTTTACTTAGCTTATTGGGGGCTTTCTCCCCTAATAAGAATTAAAACCAAAGTGAAAGCATTCTGCATATATAACACTGCTATACTCACCCCAATTCTGTCTCCAGAAGAACTCTAGGGTCTTCTGGGTGGCAAAGTGCTTCTTTACAGAGTAGTGCACTCTTTGGATGAGCATGTTGGATAGGCCGGCCTGCTTCAGGAGATAGGCCTGGGTGGGAGAGTGGCCAAATGGGTCCACAGCCCAGCCAGTCCTGGGCTTCACTCCTATCAAGGAACGAAATGAAGGGACAGATTTTGGACAGGAAACTAAAAAAGTTAACACTTTATTTGGACAGTTTGCTGTAGATGCCTTGCAGAGGTTTAGTCTGTCTTTAATGAACCTCTAACTAAATATCTATTAAATGCAATTAAATTGAACCTGAGCGCTGAGTACCACAAAAAAGTGTGTTAATAATCTTAGTATCTGTAGATCATCTATGGTGGACCACCAAAAGAAAATCTAAAAATCAACTACAATTTAAAAAAAAACAAAAAAAACGAAACAAAACAAAAAAAACCTAACCTTCTTGGCCCCTATGTGAAATTAACTCAATAGTTTTACATTATTTTTTTAATTTTAAAACCAAACACAACGACTTCTGGATTCTCCTCATAATTTAGCTTTAAAAGGGGCTCTCCTGATAATTTAGCTTTAAACATCTTTAGCATCGGACTCCACATCTAATTTTGATTTTAAATTCTCACAATAACACACAGTAAACTTTCTGGGCTATAATGAGTGATTTGCAATCCAGCCAGCAACACGGTCTAATAATGGCCTTGCGAGCAAGTTAGCATCAATGACTACATCTACAAACAGACAGCGCAAGCTGATCTACATAGGATCTATGTTAAGAATCTATCTGGATTTAAGCACCAAACTGGTTAAAAACCGTGCCGCATTCAAAGATGTCAAGCAGGCACTTTATAAAAAAAAATATATATATATATGGATTGCCACTAGCTGTTTTTGCTAACCTGGGGGTCACAAATTTCAGTTCATAAAGCATGAGAGTAACTTTTTAACTGTTTGGCAACTCTCAAGGAACTGGCCTGTTTGACGTCTGGAGGTTTCGATTCAGACTGCTATTCCCAGAAAGTTAAGCTTATGGAGCAGGTAGTCTTGTTCGTACATTGTACACGCACACTGCAATTAACCTTTTAACTTCTTAAAGTTTCCATTGTTTTTACTCTGTTACTGTTAGCTTACCTTAAAACCCTTTTTTGCAGTTTATGCAAGAAGTGCATGTATTGGTTTTTAGTAGTGCCACTTTTGTTATATGATAATCTAGCCTAGACTATTATCTGTGTTTTATCATTGACCAACAATGCTCAAGTTATTTAGGATATCCAGGAGTTCCCTTGGACTAGAGTTAGAGAAAGTACTAATGTGCAGTTTATTTGGGGACCTGCAGTTGGCCTCAGTTTGCAGTTTGGGAGACCAACTCAGGAGAAGTTACTGTCTTGTGGTTTAGCATTATTATTATTATTTTTTATTTTTTTTGAGAGGGACAGATTTTGTAGAAGTTGTTGTGTACTGCTATCTAAGAATCACAGTGTTGTTAAATAATTCCGGAAGTCATCTCTGTTTTACATGTACATTGAATGGCTTAAATGACTATGGCTGACAATTCAGTAGTGAACAGGGCAAAGGGATCAGCAGCCCCTTTCATCAGTTGGAATGTTAAAGGTCTCAGTGGACCAGTCAAAAGGGCCAGAAAATGTGCTCATCTAAAAAAAAAAGAAAAAAAAAAAAAGTATTTTTTTCACAGGAAACACATTTATGCACAATACATCATAACAGACTTAAAAAAACATGGGTTGAATATATCTACCCATTTTAACACTAAAGCAAGAGGCAATGCAAAAGATTCATAAAAATATTCAGTTCTCTCCAACTAAAGTAATCCCCAGCCCCCAGGGAAGGTTTATTATCGTATCTGGCTCCCTGTTCCAAACTCCTGTTGTCCTTGTAACTGTTTGTGCACCTAAGTGGAACAATGCAAATTTTATCACTAAGATTATTTCTTTACCACCCAATTTAAATACGCATTGTGTATTTTTTGGTGGCGATCTGAACTGTGTGATAGATCCAATCATTAACAATTCAAATAGCAGGGTCTTACTCTGTTCCAAGGTGGCTCAATCTCTAGCAGCTTTCATGACACAGTCTGGTTGTACAGACCCCCGGCATTTTTTTGCACATAGTATTCGTTTCACATGTTCACCACTTTTATTCAAGAACAGATTATTTTTTCATAGATAAAATCCTTTTCCTGTCAGTTTAGAATATTGAATATTCATTGTGGAATCAGATCATGGACCCCTATACTGGGTGTCTTCTTGCTTGCAGATGAAGGTTTCTGCACTTTGATATCCAATACAATTGATAACTTCTTGACAAATGCTTCTTGAGAAATTTTATTGTATTTTCAGTGCGGCCCAATCAGGAGGCAGCAGTCTAAATAGGCAGCATTTTAATGCAGCATGTGCATGCTCCCAAAACGAAAGCTGTCCCATTCCCATTTTATTTTATTTTTTTTTCACATAAATTTTTATTGAAGTGGACAGGTATTTTACATACATAAGCGAAAAATGCTAAAAAAAAACAACACACACAAACAAATAAATAATTTTAGACTAAACAGAAAAAGAAAAAAAAATTGAGGGACACTGCGGACCTTCACTCACATACTTTAGTCCGTGTTTGATAATATAGTATCATACAGTGTCACATGATGGCTTTTCCTAATGTACTTTTAAAATACTGGCAAATTTTTGTCTTGCTTAGTCTAGAGCAAGAGTCTGTAGCTTTTCAAAGCATCAAACACAGACTCCCAGGTTGTATAAAATTTTTTCGTTGACCCCCTAAGTGAATATTTAATCTTTTCTAATTCAAGAAACAGTAAGAGGTCTCTTAGCCAGTGTGAAATTTTAGGTGGGTATGCTGACTTCCAATCTTCTTCTTGCTAGGAGAGTTGCAAAGGCAAAAGCATTTACTGAAACACAGCCGCCTAGAACACCAAAAATAGCTGTTCCCATTCTAGGCTGCATCTCCATTTCGAATACATCAGACAGGAATTTAAAAATGGCTGACAATCTGGGGTGTGCCCAGAACACATGAGTCAGATTGGCTCTGGCAGAACAGCAATGGTCACATGTATCACAGACATTAGGGTATATTTTTGCCAATTTAGTTTTACTGTCATAGATACAGTGGAAGCCTTTATAATGAATTAGAATGAGCCAGGCACAGGACGTCATTCCATCAGTTCTTCTTAATGCAGTCTCCAAAGTTTCATCGGGTATCCCCATTCCAAACTCCTCCTCTCACTCAGTATTTTGCTCATTTTTGTGTTTTTGAGAGATAAGATAATATCGTTAATACGTGAAATCAGGCCTTTGAGTTGCAAACACGTTTTTAAGATGGTACCTGTATGTGATTTTGGAGGCAAATTAGGGAAAGTTGGACATTCAGCATGAATGAAATGACGTAACTGAAAATAACAAAATAGGTAGGAGTTTGGAAGCTTAAATTTTGTTGTTATGTCTTTAAAGCTGGCACAAGTCCCATCTATGTATAGGTCGCTGAATTTATTGAGACCCAGTTTCTGCCATTCTGAAAAGACAGAGTCCAATTTTGCTGGAAGAAACTGATCATTATTACATATAGGACCTTGTAAAGAAAAGTCAACTGCCATCCCCAGATTTTAAGAGTAGAGTTAACAACTGGGCATGACATAAACTATGCATTTGAGAAAGGCAGTTTGGATCTAGATCTACGGGAGCTAGATTCAATTTTGCACCATTCTGCCCGTGGGAACTGCACCCAGTGTATAATTTTTGCAGATTTGCAGCCCAGTAATAGTACATACAATTTGGGAGTGCACCCTGGGATCTAGATCTCTGAAGCAATTCTTTACGTACTCTAGGGATCTTCCACTCCATAAAAATGATAAAATAATTTCGTCCACTGTTCGGAAAAAAAGATTTTGGCAGAAAAATTGGGAGGCACTGGAACAAACAGAAAAATCTGGGCAGCACATTCATTTTGATGTTAATCAGTTAATTCTGCCTGCAAGAGATAGATGTACATTCCATTTCTGGAAATCGAGTTTAAATTTATTGATCAAAGGTACAAAGTTATGTTTATAAAGACTAGACACAGAACTAGTAATACTGATCCCAAAATATCTGAAACCTGATTTATTCAGGCGAAAAGGCAAGTCTGAGTCCAAAATTTGCAGAGCTGGGTGATTTATAGGAAAACGTACATTCACTCTTTGAAAAAATTTAACTTGTATCCTAACTGCCATTTGCGTGTAGTATTTACTCTATGTTTTGAACACATGGAAAAAGGATCTGAAATGTAGAGTAACAGATCATCAGCATATAAGCTTACTTTATGCTCTATTCCCCTTTTATTAATGCCATAAATGGATTGGGAGGTTTTAAGCATGATAGACAAGGGTTCTGTGGCTAAAGAAAAGAGAAGGGGGCTAAGAGGTCACGCTTGTCTTGTACCCCTTCTAAGTGGAAAAAACTGTGAGTGTAATTTATTTGTGACTACTGATGCTTTTGGTGATGTGTATAATAAACGGATCAATGAGATCAATTTTGGGCCAAAGATAAACCTTTCCAGCACAGTAAATAAATAAATATTCCCATTCCACTCTATCAAAGGCCTTCTCTGCATCTAAAGAAACAATTACTTCAGGGGTTTCCAAAGATGTAGGAAAGTGGATGAATCCAAGCAGTCTATGGATGTTAGACTGGTCTGGTGAGATTAAGTCCATCATAATGGTGTTTATCTTTAGCTAAGATTTTGACATCCGCATTTAAAAGTGAACTTTAGCTAAAAATCTTGAAAATTTAAAAGTGATATTGGTCTTTATGAGCTGCACTCTAACATGTCCTTATCAGGTTTCAACAAGAGAGTGATGGATGCTTCAGTAAAGGTTTGTGTCAAGATCCCTTGATTTTGAGAATGTTCAAACATTTCTAGAAGAAGTGGGTCCAATTTAACCAACATTTTTTGTGGAATTCAACTGAATAACCATCCAGGTGCCCTACCACTTTTCATTGCTGTTATTGACTCAGGAAATTCAAAACAGTATAAATCTGAATAATATTTTTGAAAGGTGTTTCACAAAGATATACAGTAAATTCACCAGATTCCTTGCGAATCTGTGGGATGAGTTGAACAGCAGATTTACATTTTATTT